CATACTTCTGGAGGCTAGAAGTCCAAGACCAAGGTGCTTGTCACTGTTTTCTAACATGGCCTTTCCTCTGTGCGTTATGTGGAGAAAGAGCTCTCTGGTGTCTCTTCCTCTTCTTATAAGAATATCAGTCCTGTCAGATTAGGGCCCCGCCCTTATGACCTCATTTAACCTTAATTACATCCTTAAGGCCCTATCTCCAAATATAGTCACATGGGGGGTTAGGGCTTCAGCATATGAATTGTGGGGGACACAATTCAGCCCATAACAGGTGTGGCCTGGGCTTTGGAATATTTAAAAAATCCCAGATGATTCCTAATGTGCAGGTAAATTTGAGAACCCTGAAACAAGCCATTATTTGAATTTGAGTCTCCTGAAAAAGAAAATAAAAATGGATTCTCAATGAAAATCCTATTTGGATACATGTTTATTAGATTGGTTTAAAGATCTTTATTGATTTATTTGTAGCCCAGATTTTTGAGAGTGATAGTTTTATTCTCCATTCCCTTAACAATTCTATGATGCCCTCCTATCTTTCCTTTCTTTGAGTTGGTGGAGACATAAAGAATTAGAGTACTTTAAACATTCTTCCAAGAAGCACTTGGGAGGCCTTTCTCTTACTTGAACAATTATAAGCTCCTTCTAAAAGGAAATGGGACAACAGATATCCCTGGCCTGTTCCTTATCTTCTTTAGAGGAATGAAGGGTAAGCAGTCTGGAGCAATTAATGGTTAGTCAGTGCTGAAACTATTAATGTCAAGTAGCAATAAAAAAGCTGACTCCAGTGAACTAAGGAAGGCAGTTCTAGAAAAGGAGATCATAGTGCCAGTCTGAACAAACACTGATAATTCTTATACCTAACATTTATATATGTTATTTAAGCCTCGTGACAACTCTGAAGTGGATAGGACAAGAATTGTCACCCCATTTTACAGATAAGAAAACTGAGATTCAGAGAATTCCAACAGACTTTCCCAAGACAAAAGTTAAGTGACAGAATTAGAATTTGAACCAAAGTCTTACTCATACTGTTTCAATATTTTTTCATTCATTCCGAAACCTGTGTTTGTTCAAGTCAGCCTTACTGTGCTAGATGTTGAAGGTACAGAGTTCCAAGATATGTTACTTGATCCCAAGGAACTTGGAATCTAAAGGAAAAGATAGAGAAGTAAACAAATAATTACAATACAGTGTAATATGTATCATCTTAGAGGTAAGCACTGAATGTTGTGGTAGCATAGAGGAAGGGTACCTAACCCAATGGGAAGCAGTCAAGGTCTAGAGGTCTTGATGAGACTGAAAAACAGATTTTCTGGGTATAAGGGGTTCAGAGACTTGAAAGAATAGTAAGTTGTCATCATAATGATAAATTTTCTCTTGTTTTTTTTACGTTATTGCAAAAGCAGTGTTTCCCTCAGGAAAATCAAAGTAAGCTTTAGAGCACAGATAATTTGACTTAATCAAGGTAGCCACTATTAATATCTTGGTGTACATCTTTTCACATAAGAGTGGGACATTTCAGTTTAAGGTTTCCAGAATGGTACAGTTCCAAGCTTTGGCTATGGAAATAGTTGGCTAGAAATGAGTGGAGGTCAAGGTCATTGGAGTTGAAGAGGTCAGGGAATTGTGAGACTAAGTTGTTACTTAAACTGGTCATCTACTTGGATGTGGAAATCAGCCAAGATGATGGCAGAACTTGGAGTGCAGAGGAGAACTGTGAGCTTAGTGTCAGTAATCAGGTGGTGATGGATGAGGAGAGGTAAAATAGTATAACCTCAGAGGACCAGGGGTTTCCTGAAAGCATTTGTTCCATTACATCTCATTGTCTCTAGTACTGTGCAGCTATTTAAAAAATATTTGACTGAAGAGAGAGAAGAGAAAACAGGGAGATGATGAAAGATTTCATCATATATACCTTAGCTGGGGAGAAGGGTCAAGTAGCAAGGTTCATAGCAGAGGCTAGTGAATGGAGACAGCCATGAAAAAGCTATAATAAATGATCCACTGCTTTAGGCATATGAGGAGAGTTACTCTCAGGGAAGACTGAGGAAAGCTTCATTTAGGAGAGATGCATTGTGTTTGTGCTCAGAGTCAGTCCTACATCTTGGGGTCCATTAGGCTGGATAACATGTCCCTCCAAAAACAATTTGATTTTATAAAATCTTCATGACATCTTTATCCATTTCTATGTTTATTTTTGCCATAATACTAAATGATAAAATGGGTATACATATATATATAGATATAGATATATATACACACACACACAAACATATCTATGTATTTATACCTATCTCTGTATTTCTCTATTTCTCTATCATCTATTTATCTATTTAACTAAAGAGAGAGAGAAATACACTTCTAGAAAGTCATATAGGACCCATGACTGTGTCAGTTCATGCTTGAAAATATAAAACAGCTCCCATATTCTATCATATAATTAGACTTGTATTTAAAGGAGAAGGCTGAAACATATGATTCAGTAGAGGTTTCTGCTGCCCAGCACTGGCAGCATCTTTTTTTTCCTGACACACTTAAGTAAATTCACTGCCTCTGTAGGGATGTCAGGCTGGGCTACTGGGTTTCTAACACCCAACTGTAAAAGGCTGTAAAAGGCTTTGCAGTCACTCTCTCTCTCTCTCCCTTAATAATTTACGAGTGGATTTGAAAAGGAGCTATTTGCTTCGTGTTAACTATCCTCTGCTGACCTGACATTAGGTCACTATATCTTCTCAGTCTGCAGTAGGTGCCAATCCTTCGTGTGTATTTCTTTATCATCTCTTATATCTAAATCATAAAACTTTTCACGTTATTATATAAATTATTTTTTTGTCCTTCTCTTCTGCTTTCAAATTCAGAGATTGTTTTATTTATCTCGGTAGGCCCAGGTACGTAATTAGCCACATTAAGTGTTTTGCGAGTGAGTGAATACATATATTCAGTAGTCATGCATAAGCATTGCCTATCAGGCTCCATAAAAAATGATGATAGATTATATAATTCTTGGAGAGGCAGCATCACATGGTGGAATGTGAGCTTTGGAGTCAGATCTAGGTTTGAATCTCAGTTCTGCCACTTAACTATCTATTTGTGACCTTGGACAAATTAATTAGCTTATTTAATCTCATTATCTTCATCAGTAAAATGGAGTATTTCCTACTTGCATGTAAACTGCTTGGCATGTAGCAGGTGTTCAGTAAATGGTGGCTCTCATTCTTATTAATTGTAGCCCCTCTCTGGGAGCTGCTCAAGGAACTTTCACTTACTTGGTTGCCTTACTGCTATGTATAATTAGCCCTTTCTGTGATACACCCTATAATCACCAAGGTTACAGAAGTTTGAAACTGTTCCAAGAAGTTGTTTTGCAAGTGTTAAGTACAGAAAATGCTTTTAAGAGACCATTGCTTTTCTATTATTTGAACATTTTATAGTAACATTTTTCAAATGAAGGATGTGACTATGATATGTATGCTGCAGTTACTATTTAATTACTGCTGTTTACATTTAGATGTTTCCAGAATTTTCTAATAATCCCCATCAATTTTTCTAATAATTTTTCTAATATTTTTGTAATAATTTTTCTAATTATCCCCACCCATTGCACAGTTGTTGATCTCTTTTTCAGTGTACTTATTAAAAGTATTATAATTTATTCTTCTTTATTAGATATTTACATTTTTCTTCTTTATTGTGTTATGAGATTTTGAGGTCTGGGACCATTCTTTTCTTTAATATATACCTAGTACATGGCTCTGTATTCTCTGAGCCACCAATAAGAACTTACTGATTTCTGACTGTTTATCTTCTTCTCGTTCTCCTGGACTTGTCTGTTTTCTAGCAGACTCCTTACAACTTTGGTTTTAGGGAAACTATATTAAATACGAGTTAATATAGAAAAGTGGTTAATACTAAAGCTTTGGAGCCAGATCATGTTGCCTTGGCAAAGTTGTTTCACCTCTTCGAGTCTCATTCTTTTTCATCCATAAAATGTGGGTTACATGTACCTAGTAGGGTTTTTGTGAGGAGTAAATAGGGTGATATAAGTAACACACTTTAGCACCATTCCTAGAATAGAGAAAGCCCTCATTAAATAGTAAATCTTATTATATTTGTAGGGAGGTATCAGAGTATATTGGAAAGAGCATGGACATTTGGTGTTAGATAGACTTAGGGTCAAATTCTAGTTTTATCACTGAACAACTGAATGACCCTGGGCAAGTTGCTTAACTTCTCTCAGCTTCATGTTTTTTTAAATCGACAAAGGGGGGATAGTGATACTTGCCTCCAGGATTGTTGTGAGGTAATATAGGTATAGAACCTGCACAATGCTTGCCACATAGTAGGCATTCAACAAGTGGCATCTATTATTGTTATCACGTATAACATATGCTTTCAGATTATTATTTGATCCTTAAAACAGTTCTGTGAGGTAGAAAGAGTGAGTTTTATCCCTGTTTTGCAGATTAGGAAATAAAAATGATTTTTTTTTCATGGTTACTTAAGTAATTTTTACAGAGCCAGTACTAGAACATAGGTCTTCTGACTTTGGAGCTTTTTGCTTTCCAGCTTTTCCTTAAAAATAAATGTTTGGATGAACAGATTGACTTTCAAAAATAGGTTCCTTTTGGTGTCTGCTCCTTTGACTCTACTCGGATTCTTAATACAGATTGGCCTACGTTAGGATAATAGAGTTACTCTTCTCAGCTCCAGTCTGAATTACTTTTAAATTTGTTCCAAAAGGTGGTTTTGAGATTGTGGATTTTACTCTGATCATTGTTCATGTGTCTTCTGAAGTTCCATGAAATAGGTTCTCTAACCCCCAAAGTGATGGCTGTTATATTCCCTTTTGTGTCCAATTCTCAGACCCAAAGATGTTTCCCCTTGGATGTCTGAAAAGCTTTCTGAGGTGTAGTTACTTTTATAGGAAGAAATACCATAATTTAATTCATTTGTGCTCTTGGGTTTCTGTATGCGTGGTGGATGTTTTTGTTGTGTTGTTACAGGTGGATGAAAAGCCCACAATTTTGATGACAGATAGTCTGGTTATAAAGAATTTTTTACGAAAAATTGTCATGGTGCACCCTAAGGTAAGCTGTTCTTTTCCACAATAATAATTCTCTTGTTTAAGTCACATATTTTCAAGAGACCTCTACTCTGTAGGACATGGAAGGATCTGGTTGGTTCTCTCTCTTTTAATGACAATGATTACAACTTTTAATATTGAATTGATTTGGTTTCTTTGTCTCTAAGGCAATCTTTTTTTTTTTTTTTTTTTTTATAATTTTATTTATTTATTTTTCCCCCAGAGCCCCAGTACATAGTTGTATGTCATAGCTGCACATCCTTCTAGTTGCTGTATGTGGGACGCGGCCTCAGCATGGCCGGACAAGCGGTGCGGCGGTGCGCGCCCGGGATCCGAACCCGGGCCGCCAGCAGCGAAGCGCGCGCACTTAACCGCTAAGCCACGGGGCCGGCCCTCTAAGGCAATCTTAATGTTGGTCATGTGACATAGTTGAGAGCCCTTTGGATATAGAGAGAGCTTTCTTTTGGGTTCTTATTTTCACTTCCTTACTGTTTTATTGTATCACTTTGGATACCTCTTTTCCCTGCTCTGTGCTTCATTTTTCTGTTAAACCTGGGTAATAAATCTTGCTGAATATCTTCTTTTCTAAAGTGACTGTAAGAGCAAATAAGGAAATTTTGATAAAGTACTTTGAACTTTGGAGAGCTAAAATTTTTATTATTCTCTGTGGTTAGATATGTTTATAAAGATGCACACAGTTAAGTATTCTATATAACTTCCCCATTTTTTCTCTTGCTAGCTTCCTACTTTTTCTGTCGTCAGCAGGGTTCAGTGCTTATTGTTTGGCAGTCACTATTCTAAGTGCTCTCCATGCACTCACTCACTCACCCCTCACAACACTCCTCATGAAGTAGGTTTTATTATCATCATCCCCATTTTGTAGCTGAGGAAACTATGGTACAGAGGTTAAATAACTTGCAGAGCCAGGATTTGAACTCAGGCAGTCTGGCTCTAGAGTCTCTTATCACCCATTATGTTATATAGAAAGAAAAATGTAGGTTGAAGGTAGGGAATAATTAGAATGGTGAAATAAATTGGAGGGAAGACATAAAAGTCAGATGGGGGCAGGGAAGGAAAAGCAAAGAAAAAAGCATGGAATCTTCCATGTATGAGAAGAATGGAAAGAATAGAGAGAAAAATTGATAGTTCCTTTAAGAAAGGGGAGAAAAGATACATTGGGAGAACAGCAGAGGACAAAAGGGTAGGATTTCCTGATAATTTGTGACTACTTGGAATTGTAGTATAGGACTCAGTGTATTTAAGACAGAGAATTTGGGGCCGGCCTCGTGGTGCGGTGGTTAAGTGCACGTGCTCTGCTTCAGCGACCTGGGGTTCGCAGGCCGGGATCCCAGGCGCAAAACGATGCACTGCTTGTTAAGCCATGCTCTGGCGGTGTCCCATATAAAGTAGAGGAAGATGGGCCAGGGCCAATCTTCTTCAAGAAAAAAGGGAGGATTGGCATCGGATGTTAGCTCAGGGCTAGTCCTTCTCACA